ACATCCGTCAGCGCAGGCGCCGAACTTTTCTGTGCGCACGAACCAAGCTGGAATTGCTCTGGTAGGTGTATTTGAGCATGGGCCACCTGAATATGCAACAACATTCAGGTCGTTCGATGTTTTTCCCTACGCCTGTGAGGATTCATGCACTTCGTTACAATTTGTCGGCAGACACAGCCGTCATCACAAGCGCCGAACTTTTTGGTGCGCACGAACCAAGCTGGAATTGCTCTGGTAGGTGTATTTGAGCATGGGCCACCCGAATATGCAACAACATTCAGGTCGTTCGATGTTTTTCCCTACGCCTATGAGGATTCGTGCACTTCGTTACCATTTGTCGGCAGGCACTGCCGTCATCGCAGGCGTCGAACTTTGTGGTGCGCACGAACCAAGCTGGAATTGCTCTGGAAGGTGTATTTGAGCATGGGCCACCTGAATATGCAACAACATTTAGGTCGTTCAATGCTTTTCCCTATGCCTATGAGGATTCATGCACTTCGTTACCATTTGTCGGCAGACACAGCCGTCATCGCAGGCGCCGAACTTTTCTGTGCGCACGAACCAAGCTGGAATTGCTCTTGTTGCTGTATTTGAGCATGGGCCACCCGAATATGCAACAACATCCAGGTCGTTCGATTCTTTTCCCTACGCCTATGACGATTCATGCACTTCGTTACCATTTGTCGGCAGGCACAGCCGTCATCGTAGGCGCCAAACTTTTCTGTGCGCACGCACCAAGCTGGAATTGCTCCGGTAGGTGTATTTGAGCATGGGCCACCCAAATATGCAACAACATGCAAGTCGTTTGATGCTTTTCCCTATGCCTATGAGGATTCATGCACTTCGTTACCATTTGTCGGCAGGCACAGCCGTCATCGCAGGCGTCGAACTTTGTGGTGTGCACGAACCAAGCTGGAATTGCTCTGGTAGGTGTATTTGAGCATGGGCCACCTGAATATGCAACAACATTTAGGTCGTTCAATGCTTTTCCCTATGCCTATGAGGATTCATGCACTTCGTTACCATTTGTCGGCAGACACAACCGTCATCGCAGGCGCCGAACTTTTCTGTGCGCACGAACCAAGCTGGAATTGCTCTTGTTGCTGTATTTGAGCAAGGGCCACCCGAATATGCAACAACATTCAGGTCGTTCGATGCTTTTCCCTACGCCTATGAGGATTCATGCACTTCGTTACCATTTGTCGGCAGGCACAGCCGTCATCGCAGGCGCCGAACTTTTTGGTGCGCACGAACTAAGCTAGAATTGCTCTTGTAGGTGTATTTGAGCATTAGCCAGCCGAATATGCAACAACATTCAGGTCGTTCGATGCTTTTCCCTACGCCTATCAGGATTCATGCACTTCGTTACCATTTGTCGGCAGACACAGCCGTCAGCGCAGGCGCAGAACTTTTCTGTGCGCACGAGCCAAGCTGAAATTGCTTTGGTAGGTGTATTTGAGCATGGGCCACCCGAATATGCAACAACATCCAGGTAGTTCGATGCTTTTCCCTACGCCTATGACGATTCATGCACTTCGTTACCATTTGTCGGCAGGCACAGCCGTCATCGTAGGCACCAAACTTTTCTGTGCGCACGCACCAAGCTGGAATTGCTCCGGTAGGTGTATTTGAGCATGGGCCACCTGAATATGCAACAACATGCAAGTCGTTTGATGCTTTTCCCTATGCCTATGAGGATTCATGCACTTCGTTACCATTTGTCGGCAGGCACAGCCGTCATCGCAGGCGCCGAACTTTGTGGTGTGCATGAACCAAGCTGGAATTGCTCTGGTAGGTGTATTTGAGCATGGGCCACCTGAATATGCAACAACATCCAGGTCGTTCGATGCTTTTCCCTACGCCTATGAGGATTCATGCACTTTGTTACCATTTGTCGGCAGGCACAGCCGTTATCGCTGGCGCCGAATTTTTCGGTGCGCACGAACCAAGCTGGAATTGCTATGGTAGGTGTATTTGAGCATGGGCCACCCGAATACGCAACAACATTCAGGTCGTTCGATGCTTTTCCATACACCTATGAGGATTTATGCACTTCGTTACCATTTGTCGGCAGGCACAGCCGTCATCGCATGCGGTGAACTTTTTGGTGCGCACGAACCAAGCTTGAATTGCTCTGGTAGGTGTATTTGAGCATGGGCCACCCGAATATGCAACAACATTCAGGTCGTTCGATGTTTTTCCCTACGCCTATGAGGATTCATGCACTTCGTTACCATTTGTCGGCAGGCACAGCCGTCATCGCAGGGTTTAGGGTTTAGGGTTTAGGGTCAGAGTCGACCGGCCGGCGATTCTGGTTCGCGTCAGCTCTAGCTACGTCAGAGGTGGGATTTGAGTCCTGGGCTGGAAGCAATTTTCCACTGCCACACTTCGCCCTTCAAGGCACAGCCCCTGGTGGTTCTGTTTCCGAAGATGAGTGGGCTGTCTGCTGCTCCTACTGCTGGCAGGTAAGCTGGGGCTGGGTGGGTGAGTGAGGGGAAGGTGGGTTGGATAGGGTTGGGTAGGATAGGGGGGGTAAGGTGGGTAGGGTTGTAAGGTGGTGGTGAGGGTTGGGGGGGTCATTGGGTAGGTGGGTGGGTAGATGGTGGTAGGGTGATAGAGTTGGTGGGTGGGTGAATAGGTACCCACCTAGATGGTATATGGGTTGGGTGAATTATTGGGTGGGTGGGTGGGTGGGTGGGTGGGTGGGTGGGTGGGTGGGTGGGTGGGTGGGTGGGTGGGTGGGTGGGTGGGTGGGTGGGTGGGTGGGTGGGTGAATAGGTGGGTGGGTAGATGGGTACGTGGGTAATGGAGTGGGAGGGTGGGTGAATAGGAGCGTTGGTAGATGGGTAGGTGTAGCAATGTGTCGCTGGGTGGTGGCTAGGTGAGAGTGTCGGTGGGTGGGTTAGTTGGTAGGTGGGTGGGTGGGTAAGCGGATAGGTGGTGGGTGGTGGATGATTGATGGGGGCTAGGCTGGTTAAGGTAGAAAGGGATGAGGAGTAGTGGGTTAGGTGCGAATCAAGCAGAGTGGGTTGGATTCGGTATGTTGGGAGGTGCAGTTGGTTTGGCAGGGTACTGTGGGATGTGGGGGAGTGGACAGGGTAGGGTGGGGGTGCGTTGGATGAGACAGAGTGGATTGGATAGGGTTGGGCGGGATGAGGTAGTCTGGGTCGGGTGGGATGAGGCCATGTGGTTTGGATAGGGTAGGGTGGGATGAGGCAGTTTGGGTTGTGTAGGTTGGGTGGGATGAGGCAGTGTGCGTGGGTTGAGAGAAGTTGTGTGGGATGAGGCAGTTTGGGTTGTGTAGGCTGGGTGGGATGAGGCAGTTTGGGTTGTGTAGGTTGGGTGGGATGAGGCAGTTTGGGTTCTGTAGGTTGGGTGGGATGAGGCAGTGTGCGTGGTTTGAGAAAAGTTGCGTGGGATGAGGCAGAGCTGGGTGGGTTTGGTAGAGTAGGGTGGGATGGGGCAGAGTGGGTTTGGTAGGGCGAGATGAGGCAAAGTGGTTTGGGTAGGTTAGGGTGGGATGATGTAGAGTTTGGTCTGGAAAGGTGGGATGAGGCAGAGTGGGTTGGGTAGGGGCGGGTGAGATGGGGCAGTGGAACTTGGTTGGTTTGGTAAGAGTGGGATTGGGTTGGGCTGGTTGGGGTAGGGTAAGATGGGGTAGGTTAGGATGAGGCAAAGTGGGTTGGCTGTGGTAGGGTGGGATGGGATGGGACGTGGGCAGGCAAGGCAGCTGGGTTGACGAGAGAGGACGGTGCTGCAAGAGAGACGTTTTTCCTGCTGGCCGGTTGTGAAAATCTCCTGAGCCCACTGTTTGTTTTGGTGGTAACTTTTTTGCCTGATTCTTTATTACCGTAGAAGCAACTTCCAATGATTTGATGCAGTACATGCTGTTAGTGCTCTGATGGTGTGTGGTGTAATTATTTTTTTCATGCTGAATCAATATTGGTATTAATATTGGTTATGAATCGTTGTATCAATAATCGTTTCTTTTCTGGTTCATAACTGCTATGCTTGGTGGTAGCATGATATATAGAGTATGAGTTTTGGTATAAGTTTTGGTGATGAATAATTAAATATTGCTATGTTATAGCCATTTTGGTTTATCAATGCTATGCTAGGTAGTAGCACCAAAATCATTATAGCAATAATGCTATGCTTGGTAGTGGTAGCACCCGTTTAGTTATTGTTGTGCATTGAGTAGGTAAAGAGGAATAGCCCGTGTTAGCTTATGGGGCTCAGCTGAAGAAGCTTCTACGGTCTGCATCTGGCAAAAGTTTCGGGCTAGGGAGATCAAAGTATCTGATTGGCAGGCGAACCGCACTCTGCACTCCTAGATTCCCCTTCTTCCGTGAGCTTCGTGGTCTAGAGGCAAAGTAAGATCACGTGGCCCAGAAAGGTTTCTCTGTTTGGTGAACTGCTGCTGACGAGGATACACTTACCCATACATCTGCGCCACCTGTACCACGTCATTGCTCCAGTAAGATGACATTCCAATGCCAGCGCGACGATCCGGACGCGCAAAGTGCATGTACGTCGCCCAAGTCCTGACGGGCCTTGGTTAGGTTCTATACTCGTTAGTAGCGGAAAGTGCATCCTCAAAAGTGTACGTTTTCTTCCCGAATCACTGAATCTCCCTGAATGTGACGATTCACTGTCCCCAGCGCACACAAAACTCCCCACGCTGTCTTCTGCCTTCATTCCCAAGTGTTATTTTATTAGGAACTGCCTCGCAGCGCGCAATACTCTGATAACCGCGTCGCATTCCAAACGGCGTCTCGCTCGCCTGCACTGTCACCATCCCAATCACGGTGCAGTGAACACTGTCAAATAGGGAGCGGGAACTAGGCAGTAAACAGTACCCACTCCTCATTGTGCTGATCGTATTCATTCCCTCGACCGTTTCACCTCCATCGCCACTCCGTGGTCACCTTACTGCCACAGCGTTAGCTCCTTTAATCGCATCGCATCGTAACGAGTCGCATCGTATAGCATCGCCTGCCATGTCCGCGCGCTTGCAGGCCGCATCATCGCTCACTGCCCTGGGTGCTGCTACTGCTGCCGTCGACTCGTCGCAATCGCAGCAATTGTCGCACCACCGAATCCGGTTACGATTACGCGACTCCAGCTGGTGCCTCGGCGACAGCCAGTGGAGCCGATCCGTGCGAGGCTGTCGCACGACAATTGTCGCGCCGGGTCGCAGAGGCTGGTCGCCGTTGCGGATCGTCGCAGGCGACGTCGGAGGGCAGAATGAGGAGAGTTTCGGCGACGTGGAGAGCGTAAGTTCTTGCTTGGTTTGTTGTCGCCTCGCCTCTTCTGAATCGCCACACCAACGGGACGAGGGAGAGAATGATGGGCGTGCTATTAGAGTGCCGGCCCGTAATTTCAGGCAGTCGGCCGGCAACCGCGAGAACGGACGAGGATGGATGAGGAAGGAGGAAGAGAGACAGCAAACAAACATGGTCGTAAAGCGTTCGGGAATTAGCAGCGCTTGCCGCTTTGTGCCGTCCCGTTACCCTGCCCTGTCCTCCTTCTCGAAGCCTTTCTCCCTCTTTCACTCTCGTGTGTCACTCCCTCGCTTCCCCACCGCATCCTGTCACTCTTATCTAACTCCCTCTCACCCTCGCACCCTCCCTCCATTCACGCTTCCCCGTGTCGCCCTCCGTCTCTCGTTCCGTCGTTCTCCCCGTGTCCGTCGCAGAGAATGGTAGACTTCTTCACGTTCAAGGCCGTGCGACACATCCTGCGAAAGGGAGCGACGGCGGGCGACGAGGAGGGTCGCGAGGAGGTGGAGTGGCTGCGACGCCACGTGGAGGCCAACACGCGGCGAGACTCCAAGCTCTTCCTAAAAAACCTCGTGCAGGTGCGTATGCTGCAGGTGCTTATAACGGGGCTGCTTATATATCGAAGGAGTAAATCAGCGATGGTAGTAATCACGTACTAAGCTTCATCTCGGGTACGGCGCATGTGCCGCGCGCTTTAATCCGCAAAGCAGGATTCACGAACCAAGTTAAGGCTTTCAATCCGGTCCGTTGGTTCTTCTTCCTTCTTTCGCGTGTCCGCTGGTTGTCTCGTCGGGTAAGCCGCGTGGCTACCTAGCCAGCAGGGGGCCCGCAAGAATTCTCGCTTGGAAAACATTGGGGTCCGAGTCACTCGCTTGTGAGAATTCTCAACAGTGACCAGCAGCAGCGCCGCTCACTCAGGGTAAATTGCAGCTTACTCACCAGAGCCGCCTCTCGCGGGTGTGTCTGCGCGGGGAGTGCACCTGCACTCCTCACCGACGTTGTCCCTGCCTTTCCGCCTTTCTTCCCCCCGGACATCACGCTCCCCCCACCCCTGCCCTTTGCCTCGCGACCCGACCCCTGTGCCTCTTCCCCCTGCCCTCCATCCGTCTCCCCCTCCCCCTCCCCCTGCGTCTGCGCCTATCAGGAGCAGCGCAACGTGGCGGAGAGAGTCATGGAGACGCGCCTGCAGCTCTTCAATAAATGGGCTCTGGTACCCGCCGCCCCTCCCCTCCCCTCCCCTCCCCTCCGCCTTCCCCCCCTTCTCATACCATCCCATCCCATCCCATCCCATCCCATCCCATCCCCCCACGTCTCCTCCTCTCCCCTCCTTTCCTTTCCGCTCCCTTTTGCTGTCTCGTTACCTCTCTGACCATCTGTCATTTGCTAAAGCTTCTCACCCACTCCGCCTCTTTCTTCTTTCTCTCTCACCAAACCCCATCCGCTGTTGTTGCTTCCATCCCCCTTCTCTTTCTCTCCTTCTTTTCCTCTCCCTCTCTCTCTCCCGTTCCCCCTTTCCCACGTCTCCCTTCCCTCCCTTCTCCCACCTCACCACAAGCTTCAACGGCTCCTCCTCTTCCATTCCCCATGCTTCGTCTCTCCCCAACGCCCTACACCCACCTCCTCCCCTTCCCCGTTTATAACCCGCCCCTCCTCTCCGTCCCCTATCTTCCCCCACTCCCCCGCCTCGCCCGCTCTCCTCTCCTGCACTTTCCACAGAGGTACGATCAGGAGGCGATGGAGGAGGAGTTGAGGCAGCAGAACCTGGAGCTGCTGCGGGAGCGGCTGCTGCAGACCGTGCGCTTTTCCACCGATCCCACGCTTGATGACGACAGCGCTGACGCCCCGCCGCCCAGCAAGCAGGCATGAGGGGTGGGGAGGAGGAGCTTTGACAGGGGAGGGTGAGGCAGGTGGACCCGGATGGGGCTGAGGGGAGAGGGCGAGGCGGAGGAGGGATGGGGATGAGGGGTGGCAAACCGGGCGACAGTGGTGGTGGTGGTGTTGATGGTGGTTGTAGCGGTGATTTATTTCGTAGCTGCTGTGCAAAGAGTGGGTGGAGCACATGAGTGAATTCGTGGTCGTATCGTGTTGTTGATGATGGCTGGACCAGTATTGAGGCATCATGTGATAAGAGCCATTGTCCCAGCTGCAGTAAGCAGGCAGGCATGCATGTCCCTGCATGCGCTGGTGGCGTTGTTCCTAGAGTTGTTGCACAGCATTTAGCACTCACTGGGGAGGAGTAACCATGTGGTGGGCTATCACCACCACTCGTGCCTCCACACAGTGATTATTTGGCAGGAGGACAGGTGCGTGTGAGACAGGGAGATACATGCAGGGACCGGTTTGGAGGCTCGTGTTGATGTCCCAGGCGTTGCGCAAGGGTGAATGCCGTACCAAGTGCAGTTTCAGGAACGTTGTATTTGCGCATGCCGTATGGCATGCCTTCAATCAGTCGACATTTCATTTTGAGCGGTGCATGTGACATCATTCATTGCCCAATGCATTTGCATCTTTGCTCCCTTGTTTGTTGTTTATTGGATGTAAACGCTTTTAAATAAATGCATACAAACGTTTACTACGGGAACACATGGATTTTTCAACATCTGATGCAGGAGGCCAAGATTTTGTAAATGGAACATGGCTAATGAACAAGACACAAAGGCAGTGTACCACTCTGAACCGCATTAGTTTTTCACCACATGAGGCTTTTGTGACAAGCTTCCCGAATTACCCTTACTTCAGGATGTAAATGTAACATGCACAATGGTAGTGCAACTGTTACCATCCGTTGGGTGCCTGTGAGCACACTCCCAACCAACCACTGCACAATATGAGGTGAACGCTAACCACTTACACTCTACAATCAACAATATTTGAAGCCCACACATGTTACAGTACCAAAAGAGCCAGTAGCCATGAGGCATGGTCATGGGCATCAACCATCAGCACCAGCATCTGCCCCTGCATCGCCCTCCTCCGCTCCCTCTGCTGGCTGCCCTGCCATGCTCTTGAGCGCCGCAAACGCTTGCTCCCTCTGCACGCGGTGAGGATGGCAGGTGAGGGTGAGAGGACAGGAGAGGGTGAGACGGCAGGAGAGGGTGAGAGGGCAGGAGAGGGTGAGAGGACAGGAGAGGGTGAGCGGAGAGGAGAGGGTGAGAGGGCATGAGTGGGAGAGACGACAGGAGAGGGTGAGAGGGCAGGAGAGGGTGAAAGGACAGGAGAGGGTGAGAGGAGAGGAGAGGGTGAGAGGGCATGAGTGGGAGAGACGACAGGAGAGGGTGAGAGGGCAGGAGAGGGTGAGAGGACAGGAGAGGGTGAGAGAGCATTGCAGAAACAACAAAGACATGAACATGCGCAGATTGATCTTACTGGAATACGGTAGGTATGGGTTGGGAGAGGTTAGGGAAATGATGGGGCAGCAGACCATACCACCAGCAACAGCTGCTGTGTCACGGACAGCTGGGGCAGAGTGCGATGCTAACAAAGCTGCTGTTATGGTACCTAACAAAGCTGCACCACCATTGCAACGCCAGGAAAGCCCCCAGCACAGCTTACACACCCACACCCACCGTGCCAGCATTGATCAAGCTCGCTGCTTGGAGCGATGCCAGCCTCAACGAAAGCTTGCTGAAGTGCAGTACACTATACTGTCTGTATCCATAGCTCGAGCCCCTAGCTCCATGTATAGAGTGGGAGACTAGTCAGGAGGTACCTTGACCTAGCCCCACACGACCCATCCACACCTGCACCCGCACCCACAACCGCACCAACACTGACACCTGCACCTGCACCCACACCCACACCCACACCCACACCCACACCCGCACCCACACCCACACCCACACCCACACCCACACCCGCACCCACACCTGCCTGCACCCCATTCGCACCCCACCCCCTCCGCAGAGAATCCTTCTCAGGCGCCTCACAAGCCAGCACCAGCATTCCCACCAGCACCCCCACCCCCACCCACCATGTCATCATCAAACACGTCCTTGCTGCAATACACACAGTGAGAGCCCCCCAGCTCCAGGGAAAAGCCTTCTGAGGCGCCTCAAGAGCCAGCACAAGCAACCCCACCCCCATCCCCACCCACCATGTCATCATCAAACACGTCCTTGCTGCGGTACACATAGTGCGAGCCCCCCAGCTCCAGGGAAAAGCGTCCGAGGTCAAACGCCTGCCGCACCGCCTCCTGCCCCCCGCGCCGCAGCCCCTCGTGTGTGGCAATGAGAGCCATCTGCACGTGGTTCAGCCAGGACAGCGTGTAGCCTGGGTCCCTCCCCGAGCTGTGGAATGGAGGAGGGGCAAGGGAGGTGGGTTGTGATTGAGAGCGGGCGCTGCTTCTCGTGTGCAGCAATGAGAGCCATCTGCACGTGGTTCAGCGCCTGGGTCCCGGCCCGAGCTGGGGAGGGGAAGGACGGCAGGGGAGAGTCGGCAGGGAGTGGAGAGGGGGACACGGGCTGGGAGTGTGTGGGATGTGATTGAGACCAGCCGCAGCCCCTCGTGTGTGGCAATGAGGGCCATCTGCACGTGGTTCAACCAGGAGAGCGCGTAGCCTGGGTCCCGCCCGGACCTGGAGAGGGGAAGGACGGACGACAGGGGAGAGACGGTAGGGAGTGGGAGAGGGGGGCAAAGGGTGGGAAAGGAAGGGTGTGTGGGTTGTGATCGAGAGCAGAGTATGACAGTGTGGTGGCTGTGAGGGAAGAAGAACTCAGAAAGAGGGCCCCTTCTCACATCCCCCGGACAGGCCAATTGAACTTCCCACTCCCTTCCTTCCGTCCTCTCCAGGCAAAACCACCTGCCTCCCTTGAAAATCCAAAACACCTCTTCCCTCCCCCCTCCCTTCCAAAGCGCAGACACCCCTTCCCCCACCCTCCCCCCGTTCTCCCCACTCCCCACGCACCCTTCTACAGGCGTGAACACCTCGCGCTCGCTCCCCTCCACGTCCAGCTTGACAAGATCAAAGCCCGGCACGCCCGTGACCTCTATGAGCCACGGCACGGTGACTGTGTGCGCGATGCCGTACTGCTTCAGTCCCCTCTCCTGGCCTGGCAGGGATGTCATTAGGGTCCAGTACCCGTGGCTGCGCGGGTCCATGTGCACTGACAGGGGCTCACTGTCATGACAGGGGTGGTCGGGGTGCGGACGCAGAATGAGAGAAGAATGGAAGAACGAAAGGAGAAAGAGAAGGGGAAAAAAATGAGTGGCAGTGGAGAGAGAAAGAACACAAGTAGAAAAGAAAACAAACCAACACACAAAAGGCAGATGAAGGTGTGGGAATCCATTGAGAATGTTATAGCGAGAGGTGATGCCCTCTACACTTGTGAGCGCCACACTGGCATGGTCCCTTGAGCTTGTTTCGAAGTGTATTCTCTCAAGGCGCCTCTGAAGTAGACACCCACTCACTTAAGTCTGTTCCAGAGTGCAGCACGAAAGGCGACGACATTGGGCAGGGCGAAGGTGTTGAGTCTGAGCATGCGGTAGTTCTCCTCTGATGACTCCACTGCCACTATGCGCGCATGCGGGAACCTGGTGCCATGACATGCCATGCCAGGCCATGCCACACCAACAACGCCATGCCATGGCGTGGCATGCAATGCCAACAATGCCATACATGCAATCGCATGGTCCATGCCACACACAACCAACCACACCCAACACATGCATGGCAAGAAGAGGCATGGAGAACGAAGGAGATGGTTCAGGCTGACAGGCTGCCTTGCATACCGCCTGACCTCCACACAAACCCACCTGTCGTGTACCAGCACTCATGTTCCCTTAGTAGAGCATGTCAAATGTGATCACATGTGGTCAATGGGTTCCCTGGAGACTCACATGAGGGCGAGAACCGTGGTCGTGATGCCAATGTTAGCTCCACCGTCCAGCACCGCAGTGAACCGCTTCTGCTTGGTCTCCCGGCGGAGCACTGAGAAGGGCGTGGGGGAGTTCTCAAAGTGCACGCGCAGCACCATGCTGTCAGACGTGTGTGGGCGCAGGTAGAAGGGAATGATGCAGCTCGTGCCTGTCAGGCATGGCACCTCGCCCTCCACGCTCACTAGCACGCATGGCGGCACAGCTAGGTTGTCCTGCGTGCATGCATAACGGTGTGGTGAGACGAGGTTTGTGAATGGGGTTGGGAAATGGGGGGAGAGGGAAGGAGATGGGGTTGGGTGTGAGTGTGAGGGGTGTGAGGTCGAGGGGTGCCTTGGGAGATTGGAAGGAGAGGGGGGAGTGCGGGGGGAAGAAGGTGGAGAAAAGTGCAACTAAATGTTGATGAATTTCTAATGGGGATGCAAAAGCTTGTAGATTCACAGGTGCTCGCAAGTACGTATGGGAGGACTGCTAAGTGGATGACAACCACCGAGGAAAGAGAGCCAAATGCGAGTGAACACAACTGTGACGGGATAAAAATGCTGTAAAGACTAACCTTTTTTGGATTTGGTTTGGCCATGGTGAGCTCGTAATTGAGTGTGATGTAATGCATCCACCTGCTCACATGCACATGGGCATGCACATTGCAAATTCAAATCCCCCATCCACACCCACATTCACACCCATGAGAGGACCACGCAAATGCCATTCCATAAGCATCAAGAGGAAGTAAAATAATTGACGGAGGAAGGAGAAGCGGGGATTCAATTTCTGCTGTTTTTTCAAAACCAATTTGATTCCCCCTCACTGGAACAACAAATAGTGCCCCATTTCGCGGAACAGTCGCAACTACCTTCCCAGAAAATAGTATCGCGGCGAGCCACGAGTGTAGCCATGCTCCATGGCTAGGATACGCTTTAACTCAACATCTGAGTACCCGCAGGCCCCCTGCAGGCGCACGGCTGGAAGCAGCGAGCAGTCGGTGGGTTCCTCCACGATCCGCCATAGCAAGCAAACCGCGGATACGATCAGAAGCACGCGTGGTAGAGCATAAAAGAAGGCGGCCGTGGGGCTGAGATAAGAGGAGGTGGTTGAGGAGGTGGCCGTAGGCGATGGAATGGGGATGAAGATGGAGGAAAGGAAGGAGCGGAGGGAGCGCGGGAGGAAGGAGGTGGATAGAGAGGTTGGTAAGGACAGCCGTAGTGGTAGCGCGAAGGCACTTCGAGTGGACGATGACTGACCAGACATGGCTGCCAGTGAGTTAAGCCAAATTCGGAGAGGAATCGGTTTGGAGGGCCTCTTCTGAATTAAGGACGTGCCATAAATAGGGTGCACGATAACAAACTTGTCCAAACTTGTCACTATGCCTACCCTCGTAGTCGCAGCCCATAACACGCAACCATGATGCGGCTGAGAGGCTTTGGAACGGTTACCGCGGGAATGGGACGAGACGATATACTGAGCGCGGTAATTAAATGTCAGCACAGATCCGTTCTAAGGAAGTCGAGGGTGCAGTCATCCAACTGCAACTGGTCCGTCCTCTCTATCAACCTACTAATCCAGAAACCAAACCCGCATTAACCAAATTCGATTTCGATCAGGAAATGCACGACCAAAAAAAGGTTCAGACCTTTCACTTTATTACGGCAACCCATTTACCATAACATCAGCGATTGCTAAATGGAAAATATCGTTGAGTGGAACACACATGGAAAATAGTGGCAGAAAAATGCCTAATATTATAAATCCGACGTCCTACACAACGAGCCAAATGAAAAAAAATGTCAGCGCATGAACCAAATGGAAACAAAATGTCCAAATTGTGACTACATGTTTTCTAATGCTGCAAAATGCCTTGAGCCACTCCAGTTGGAAACTCGAATGTAACACTCATTCTGTCTGGTGAGTTATGCTGTGGGAGTTTTTCTTCGTTCCTTGATGGGGACCATTCTTCTCCTCTTTTTGGCAGGCTGCTCTTTGCATTCAGCACACTTGGCAGGTTCGTCTGACCCTTGCATCAGGCAACCGTTGATCTCCTTTGCACAGTCAATACACTTCACCTGCAAGTTTGGATGGATTGGATGGCTTACAAAGCTGAAAAAAAATGCATCAAATTTTCAGAATAGGAAGGTAGGAACTTACGGGGGATACATCAGTCGAATCCGAACGAATACCATGTTCCAAGCCACCCTGTAATTTATCAGCCTCCACAGAGACATGGGGATGCACAGCGACGCCACTGCCTTTCTCATTTGCGACAATGTCCTCCATAATCCCCTGCAAAGGTTCCAGATGGGGACATTAAGCAAGCATAGTACAGGCGACCAGAAAAACAAGATAGGTACGTGTTTTACCTGAGCAGAAAACGATAAAATACTCTCCGGAAGTTCAGCCAGTCCTTGGTTGCCTGGAACTGCAGTGGCAACAGCTTTCTTCTGTGCTAACGACTTGGCAATGCTGCTGCCCGCTGCTGAGGAGCTGTAAGACATGCTCTGCATTCCCAAAAGCTGTGTGGGAACGATTTCAAGCTCAGCACAGTCACTGTTGCCCGAAAGATCACTGGCGTTCAAGTCAAAGATGGTTGCAGTGGTAGTTCCACGCTTTTCTTCCTGGGAAGGTGCAGCCACTTCAACAGCAACTGCATCTTTCGCTGATGGAAGCTCTTCATGGACAGGTTTACCAGTGTTGCCCTCGGCCTCCACACACACCTTTACTGCTGCCTCCACAGTGGTTGACTTGCTAGGCTCAGGTGCAGTAGTGTTGGAATTAGACTCAACTGCCAAACCTCCTGTCTGTTGCTGCTCCTCAACTTGACTGGCATTCTCAGCCAGGAGAGCAGGATCCCGAACTTTGCCTCCACTATTTGTAGTAGCAATAGCCTCTTCCTTGTTGTCATCTCCAGCGCAGGTCAATTCACTCTCAATCACATCTGCTGTTGCTCCGTCAACCTTGGCCACCTTTTGCGACTGAGCTTGTGTGATTGCTAGTAGTTGGTCCGGAGAAAGGACAAGTGACTGACTAGTTTGGAAGAGATCCTTGTACCAGTGCATGACATCCAGCTCCGGAGGAGGCTTGACCTGCAGAACAATGTGAGCGGCTTCCTTGTCAGGGAGAACATTGTCTGCCACAGAGGGCTCCTTATCCTCAGCCAATTGTGAAGCGCCAGCTTCAGGTTCAGCGCACACTGAACTCGACACCGGCGACTTAAACTTCTGAGAACTTGGTCCTTGTGAGTCTGTCCCTTGACTTGACTTAGCACGATTGGCTGGAGGCAGAGGCACCTTGAACGAGCTGTTTCTCCTTCGCTTGCTCAGCATACCTCCACTGCCAGTGCTCTGCTGAGAGTCCCGTTCTTGTGATGCAGCAGCCTGACTTCCTTTATATTCTTGAGTTTGGGTGTGCTGATTTGGCGTGCCTTGAGCCTCAAGGGGAGTGAGAAGTCCAGAGCATACAAGGCCATCCAGTCCATACACTTCCTGAGTAGATTTCCTTTCATCCACGCCGCCTTCAATTTCAACAAGACACGTCAGACATGGCAGAATTAGGCAATCTCCTCTGAATGACGAGCCATTCTGCTTACCTTGAACCACGGATTTGATTGGTCCATGACCTCCACTGCATCGTACTTCATGCCCTCCATTGACCTGCAGCTACAGAATGATTCAATATGGTGGTTGGCCCAAACTTTTGTCCAACTACTCGAAACTAACCTCAGGGAGGTCCTCGGTGGACGTTGTGGCATGTTGTAAAGATCCTGAAGGGGAGGCAGACGATGAGTCACTAGAGGAGGAACGATTTGGAAGAAAGAGAAGCAGAAAGGGCTCGTACCTCCTGATGATTCGACCTGGCAAACCAGGTCCCCAAGTGTCAATATCACAAGCGGCACAAGGATTAGGACCAAAAAAAAAAAAAAGACGCTAAATTCCCATCGACAAAGCTAACCTTGACTTGCTGGTCAATGAAGGACACGAGGCCCTTGCATGAAGTGCCCGCATCAGATAAACCTAAGATTGTATCCCACGTTAGAAATTGAATAAGTGCTTGACATGCCACAACTTCCAACGTAGCAGGAAACTTACTGCGTAAAGATTCGGTATCACAACCCTCCTGCGCCCTTGGCCAATTGACGTACTTCGATTCCACCTGCATATTAAATATTGGCACTCGAATGAAAGTGGTTACAGACGAAGGAAAAGTAGTGACCTGAGCCTGTCCTGCAATTAAAATAAACTTCCAAGAATACCTCGCATAATCTCAACTGCAGCTGAGAAAGCTCCAGCTCAAGAGGCTGCCAGAGGTCTTCACAACCAGTACCAGTGGAGACTTGGCCTGCCACAAACATAACCATCGTTAAGCCGATGGTGACCATTAATCGTGAAATCGTTGGACAGTTGTTTTGCCCACTTGTTAATCCACTATGCGAGGTCCCAGAGCTAATCAGTTGAGGTCGTGAAGCCTTTTCAGTCTCGAAATTTTCCAGTTTTTGCTTGAGGCATTGCGTCTCCCTTTCATACTCGTCAGTAGTTGCGTTCCAACCTCTTTGTTCCTCTTTCCGCCTGTAAAAGGGACAAACAGGTGGTCAGAATGAAAGGACTAAGATAGCTGTGATCGGGAGTTAACAGAACCTAAAAAAAGAAGGGCTTACTCCTGCTCCATCTTCTCAATAACACCGTTCAGCTTGTTAACATTTGCCTTCATCGTGGAGCTTTCAGAATCCATCTGCAATGGCCACAGTATTATGTGAAGAACGAAGTCAGAAAAGACACCACCCAACTTTCAAACCCGGACAGGACCTTGAACATTTTATTAACCGTAGCTCCAAGTCCCTACCTCAGAAAGGCGGCCTTCCTGTTCTGAAATTTGCTGTCGCAAGTTTTCCACTAGCTCTGTCAGCTCTTTAGATCGATTCTCATACTCAACACACGCTCTTTGAGCTTCAAGATGCGCTGAGTTGACCAGATTAAGCTCCTCCTTAATGTCCTGCAAGCAGTCAACGGAGTTGCGTGACGAAGCTATGGAAAAACAAAAAGGACCGCAAAGAGTATAACATACCACTTGCTCTTTTTTCACTCGAACAAGTTCTGCATCCTTGACTTCGATGGCTGCCTGGAGGTGATGATAACAGCAGTTAAGGAAAACACAAATGAAGGCTGACAAATTCAACATTACCGCACAACACAATCAGACAGACACGCATGAATCAACAGAGCGGGGTTTCGTATGTTAGGATATTGGCTTCATTTCAGTCTCATGCCGGAACTGGTCCATCTCCAAAAAGTCAATCTGCTCCTTCAGGGCAGCAACTTCCGCCTCCTTGTCCTTCAAGTTGTCTGCAAGCTCCTTGCTTCGACTTTCCAAATGCTTGAGTTTTTCTGCAAAACAAAATCACGGTCAAATAATGCATAACTGATCTGACAGGAATAGAAAAAGGGCTTACCCATGAAGCGCTTTTCCAAATCCGTAACCTTGGCAAGGCGCTCCTCCAAACATTTAGCTGTGTCGAACAGAAATAAGGCGTAAGATTAACATCCCAAGATGGATATCAGGATTCCAGAAGGTCACTTACAGGTACTTTCTGACGCGTCTAGGCGAGCTTGTGTCTCTGAAAAGTTGTTGCAAATAGTTTCAAACTCTTTTTGTATGTTCGATACCAGGCTAGTTTGGAGCGCAAGACGTTCAGTGCTCCATGAAACTTCAGAACACTTCTCAAGGAGACGCTTTTCAAGATCGCGGTTGGTGGCCTGCGCTAAAGAAACGTCAATGAAGATAACGAAAATCGTGGGGATGTTGAGAGACCACTTGACGTCACATACCTGAAGCTCCTCTATCGCCCTTTTCTTTGACTCTGATAGGGTTACCAGCTTCTCTTCCAGCATTCGAATCTTGGATTCAAGCGAGTCAGTTGCTCTGCGAAGCTCGTCGGCCTGCAACGCAGTTGTGTTAGAATGCATTCATGTGTTCGTGCACCCTGCATTTTCGTCAATACCTCTGACTTTGCCTTCTCGGCTTTCGACCTTTCCTTCCCCATGTCTTGCAGGACTTGCTTCTTGTCTTTCTCCAAGTGTTCAATTAGCAAACGTTCTCTCTGCGGTTTATGAAACGTGATTGCGATTTACACACACAATAATAAAAAATCATTGAACCTCGAAGATGAAGGACCCACCTCCCGAAGTGTTTCGACCTCGTTCTGACCCTCATCCTCCTTATCCTGCAGACATTAAATGGTATGATTCGTCTGTGACACACATATGAATCACCCAGTCAAGCATATACCTGCACCCATTTGGCCTCGGACATCAATAACTGCAGCTTGTACTTGAATTTCGAGAACACTAGTCCCATTTCACACTTTCCCGAGCTGTTGCTGGGTGGAGCTCCCTGAAATGCAGGACATGTCAAAGCTGAGGAAAAAAAGAAAAAAAAAAACATTCACATGAAACGGCAGGCGGAATAACACACCAGAAGAAGCGCATCATCATTTCCCTTCTCACACTCCATTGCTTCGTCGGACGAACCCATGATAGGTATGAAGGCCAATTCACAATCCTGTCATATAATCATGGAAGGAGAACGAATAACAGAAAAGTGGATTCCCGCCGAACTGTTCTAAAGTGATCGTGGACACATCCAAGGCCTCCGAATGAGCCAAATTCAAAATGTTGTATGTAATGTTTCGTGCTTATGAACTGCACTGGAGAAGGACACTTCAACCCTGACAGCGCTGTACTCGTTTTCCAGCTACGCGATATAAGCCTACCAACTGTTAACACGACAATCAAACAAAATACAGATGAAATTATGATGTGATAAATCTCTTTTTCAGCTATAGTATAAAAAAAACAAAATAAAAGAGCTGCAGAACAGATCAGAGTGGCGCCAACATATTTTGAACAGTACGTACAAACAAGGGCAATATATATGTGCAGGCCATTATATGCGTTGGATGCAACGCCGCATTTCAGTGTGTAGACCTAAGGTACCAAGGGAAACTCAAATAAAACTGCACTAATCATACCAGCGAACAAGCATGCACAGTGCTCATGCTTCCTTCGTACTGCACACTAGAGAAGCAATAAAAACACCAGATTTCTGTTTCATATTCCCCTCCCATGCCATAACACAAGTTACCACCATCATCTCGGTGTGGTTAACTTGTGTACCGCTGTCAGACAAAGTTCGCCGCACTATCCACAACCTTGGCGTTCTGCCTCAACTCCTCAAAACCTCCTGCTCCCAGCCGTTTGCCTTGATCTTCTCCCTTCTTATTGGAGTTCTCTGGCTGCTGATCCCTCTGCCGCCTTCTCAGCACAGCATGTGCAGCATGCCCTATGGCATGACGCTGCTGCTCCCATCGCCTTCCCACTCGTTCTTTGGTTGCTGAGCCTGCAACCAATGCTGCTCCTGCAGCAGCTAGCAGTGCCCGTGCAGCAGCCCTTGCTATAGCCACCTTCCCACGCGGAGTTTCTGCTACTGGAGACCCTGGTGCTGACCCTGTTCTGGCTCCCTCTATATTGCTGTCTGTATTGAGCTCTGCTGCCTGTGCAGCAGCCACAGCATCTGCCATTGTGTCCTCCTCTTTCACATCCTCCACTACTTCTTCAGCTTCTTCTGCTGGTGCTGTTGATGCTGCTGATGCCACTGCTGTGCCCGCAACAGCTCCTGCTTCGGTACTCCCCAGGCTCCCAGCCTCTGCGTCTGCAACACTTGATCCAACGTCCTCTGCACTTGCTGCTACAAACACCTCATCATCCAAGCCCAGAGGCTGCTTCAGGTTTTCTTCACAGCCGCCTTCCTCTCCACTTGCACAGCTCTGTGACTCCTTAACCCCCTCTCCTTCCTGCTTGTCTCCCACCTTGCCAGCCTCCTCCCCAGCCTTCCCTGCCTCTGCTTCAACCACTTCAACTGCTTCCACCGCCAGCTCAGCAGCAGCCACTAGCTCCTCCACCTCAGCAGCAATCCGCGTTTCCACCACACTCGGAGCAACCCTGCCACTCCTTACACCCACGCCAGGCTTCCCGCCAACGCTGTTCCTTGCACTCACGCTACTGCTGATCACACTGGCCCGGCTCTTCAGCTTGATCCCCATCTTTCCACGCCAGTTTCTAAGCCAGTTCAACCGCCCGAGGCTGGAAGCTTGCCCTGGAGCCCCAGTGGGAATGCTGCTCCCACCTACGCTGGCCTTCGCAGCTCTGCACCCCACGATCATGGTCAGAGGCCCGCTGGTGATGGTGCTGGTAGTAGCAGCACTGGAAATGCTGCTGTTGCTGTTGGGAATGAGGTTGCGGGAAGAATCAGAGGAGCCTTCTAAGGGGTTGCTGCTCTTGCTGCCAGTTGTTGCCTCGCTTGGACACTCCTCTTCGCTCGGGATTGCCTGCAAAGCGCACCCCTTACTGGCAGCTTCGGTTTGGGTAGGTTCAGGGGTGGAAATGATGGAGGCTAGAGCGGTTTCTATGTTGGGAATAGGGTCGTGGGCTGAAGTTGCAGAAGAGCCCGTCAGGGATGCATCAGAAACCGCAGTAGCAGGAGCAGCAATGGCAGTGGCATCATTTGGCGCAGATGCAACAACAGTTTTGTCGTGTTGGTGCTGATGTTGATGCGAGTGCCGGTCAGTGAGGGAAGAGAAAGCACGGGAAAGAGCAGCAGCAGCATTGACCAGATGCGTCTGATGCGCCCGCTGAGCCACTTCCGCCGCCACAGCAGCATGAGCAACAGAGGTACCCTCAGCTGCAGACTCACCAACAGGAACAAGAGAGGCAGCAGGTGGCACAGGATTGGCACCAAGGCGTGACGGCCCAGGGCCAGCAGCAGTCCTGCTGGTGCCACTTTCATTATCCCCAACAGCACCAGCAGCAGCCGCAGCAGCAGCATTAGCAGCAGAAGCTGCTGCGGCGGCGGCAGCAGCAAGTTGGAACTTGTACTGGGCATGGCGGCTGAGTGGTGCGTTCACTGTGATGCCGAGGCTGCTAGCAGGTGGGGTGATCGTTACCGTGCCGTTGCGTATCGCCCTCACTCGATTGAAGTCCGCCGAGAACCCGTCTGCTTCCTCAAAGTTGCCAAATATTGGGACTCCGATCGCTGGCAAGGGACAGAGGAGGAAGAAAATGATGACAAGGAGTGAGTGACTGATATAGAACATCAGACAAACGGAATGCTTCAGCTGTTTATGCGAGATTGAAAGTCATATGCAGGGTGCATACCTGGCCTTGTCTTAGGGGCACGAGCAACAGCCGCAGCGGCAGCAGCGGCAGCGGCGGCAGCAGCAGCTGCCTCCTCCGCGTCAGCGCCATCACCCGCTGCAGCAGCAGCAGAAGCAGCAAAGCTAGCAGCAGAGGCAGAAGAAGAGGAGCCTTTCACCGAGAGCGTGGAGAGCAGCCGAGCAGGTGGCAACGGCAGGGCGTTGTTCAACGAGGAGGATTTAGGGAAATGCGGCGGGTGGGATAGGCCGGTGCTTGACCGTGGGCTGCTTGGCCTGAAGGGAACAAGCTTGCTGGGGGCCGCAGCAGCAACAGCAGCAGCAGCTGTGGCGCGCCTACCAGCGGGTGAATCGGGAAGAGCGGGGATGGTGGGCAACTTGTGAGCAAGTCTGGGGGGAATGGGCGGCCTTGCAGCCGCTGCTGTTGCTGCTGCTGAGGGTGATGGTGTTGAGGGTGATGGTGATGGTGATGGTGATGGTGATGCTGACGGTGATAGTACGGCTGTTGATGCCATTGTGGTGATCGACGATGGTGTTGAAAGTGGTGATGTTAACACCGTTGATGGTGACGTTGCGTCCGGGGTGACTGGCGGCGGCATCATCACGTGAAGCTGAGCCTTGCGCCCATGCCATTCCTGCACAATAGAGTGACTCTTCTCCCGACGCTCCTCCATCTCCTTCTCTTCGTCCTCCTCCTCATCCTCCCCTTCTTCCCCCTCCTCTTCCTCATCTCCTCCCTCCGTTTCCTCCTTCTCGTCCTCCTCTACCGCCTCCCTCTCCTCATCATCCCCCACAGACCCAGCCACAGTCTCCGCGACGGACACACCGTCAGGAGTGGGACTGGCCAGCACAGCAGCGGCAAGTCGAAGCTTCGCCTCGGGATCCCCCATTCTCCCCGCCGCCAGCAGCAGCCGCGCCGCGGCGGCCGCCGCCGCCTGCTCGTCCTCGGGGCTATCATCCAGCCTAAGGCGCTCCGCCAGCAGTAGCAGCTGCGCCTCGTACTCCTTTAAGGACTTGGGCTTCGACCTGCCAGCGCCACCACCCCGATACGACCCTCGAAGGGAGCCGCTTTTAACGCTTCCTCTAGCACCCGCTTTAGTGGTAACCTTACTTTTACTAATAGAGGCCGTCGATTGGTCCACGAAACCTGCGGAAGCGGAGCCGTGCTTAGTGGCCGTCGATTCCTCAGCGGCCTGCCTCGCGAATAGATCCACGGCGCGGATTCTCCCGCCACGGCCGGCGCCGCCGCGTTTCCCTTTGATAATCACCTCGGATGAGCAGAACTCGTTGTCTTCGCCGTCGCTGGCGCCGTGGTCTCCGCCGGAAGATTCCCGAGCCGCCCTCACCGCCGCGAGCGCCGCAGCCGCCGTGGAAGCCGGCATAGTGGCGGCGACGTTGCGGTGACGGCGGCGGATGGAAGCGAGAGACGGGGAGGTACCAGACGTAACGAGCTTAATAGTACTACTAGAATAGTCAGCGTGACGCCTCGTAGGGGGGGAAGATTCCCTTGGGGCCGTGAATCGCGCTGGGGCGGCCGGCGCGGTTTCAGACTCGGGGAAGGTTGCGCGGCAGTGATCGGCGCGCCTTTGAGCGAACCTGGCGGAGTAGCCTTCTTGACGCGTCAACGTGTTGCTTCCGACCCACTCGCCGAACTTGGGTGTTGCGACTCGCGCCTGTCGCGGATGAGGGCGGCGAAGAACGAGAGGAACAAGTGGGGGGGAGGGGAGGGGGGAGAATGGGAAAAGAAACAGGAGGAATCATGACTGATGTTTGGAGCTAGGTGGAACGATCATGATAAAGTATCAGAGGGTACCATTTCTCCGAGCAACCAGCTGCTCCCATTGAGAGGCTCGTTTTAGCGAGAGAAGAGCTCTCGAAGAACGCGAGGAGGCATGCGGGCGAGCATTACCATGATGTGTGACAAGTATTAATGGCGTGGCTTGTTGCGAAGCGAATGTGTTGCTGAACTCCGGCTCTCCAGCGTGGTGACGAATCTCGCTGGAATCTAGTTCGACAGGGTTGACCGAACCCACGACGAGACGGTATGGGGACGGAGACTGGATGAAAGTGAACGGAAGAAGGCGAAGATATGGACGAGTTTGATTGAGTATAAAACTAGGTCGTCGTGAGATACCATAAGAAGGAGAAACTCAAAGGTGGCAGTTGAAGAAATCTGAGGTTGTGGAGGATATCCGGTCAAGAAATGCGTTCCTTGCGAGACTGAGAAGACAGCTATCAACGTTCCAGTGTGCAGGCGAGAAGCGGGTGGATGCGCAGGGCGATGGAGGCTAGTCAAAGGGACTGAAAGCACGTGCAGCTAGCGATTACTCTCAGAACGAGAGAAACAATCGAGTCATTTGTTGTAGTCGGACCATTCTTATCTCCCACGCGATGGAGGAGAAAGAAGCCACGGGCCCCTAAACACGCGCTCGATCTTTCCCCTCCCTCCCTCCAATCCGAAGCAAGGGCTGCTCCGCTCCGCCGCAGAACTCTTGGCCGCGCCGCACCTCCGCTCCACATCGACGTCTCCCCCTGCTCCGCTCCACTCTCCCCTCCCCTTCCATCCCTCCCTGATCGCTATCCTAGACCCCCCCTCTCCCCCCTCTTCCCCCCCTCAAACACGAATTTCCAAACCAGCGCAGGGGCCAAGCCAGCCGCTGCGACATCCAATCAAAGCGCGTCGCATCTCCGTCTCGAGTTGTTGTGATTCGTTTCTGGTTGGCGGACAGAAGAAAAACGAATCCAGGGTCATCATGGGCAGACGAAAAACGAAACCTGGTTAGGGGATGACTAGTTGCCTGTTTTCTGAAGCCAGACCAAATTGAGCTGGGCGAATGTCCGTGTCATTTCAAGATTATTGCTGTCGGTGGTGCCTCAATGAAAGCCAACAGATTTGCGCCGGGCAGACCGACAGCTGACGTGGAAGGCCAAGAAGAATCTGCTGCTGAGTGCTGCAGCGCGAAGAGCTCCCCCCACCCACTGCCAGAGCGAGGTGAGCCCACCACAACAGAAGCAGCAACGAGCCAGCGCTTACCAGGTCAACGCCTGGTGTTTCAACGTTTTTCCAACTGCAATGAACTTCCCGTCCCATCCCAGGTTGCGAAGAAACTCGACGACGCGCGACAAGGGTCAACGGCTGTCAAACTCTGGTCAGCTTGAGGACCTTATGACGGGGTTGTTACACTTTTTCAAGGTGATGAGAAACCGTTGTTGCAGAAGACATACACATGATGCCCGTTTGACCCACTCCCGGTTGCCTTGTGAAGGGGGCTCATAAGCTGTAACGTGTATTTCGCATAAGTTTCGTCGTTTCGCAGCTAGCAAAAAAGGATTTGTCAGGTGCTTATAAAAAGTTTGTAACCTATCTGTTGACATTTTGACTTCAGTCTCTTCACTTTGACCTCGGTCTGTTCGCTTTGACGTGCTTGTAACGTGCGTGCAACGGGCTGGGGAAAAAACCTCGGGTGCAGGGTTTCCATCCGGTGCAGGGCAAATTCGCGTGCACGGGTTGGGCATCATGTGTACTATTCTAAGCAAGGGTCAATCCTCTAACGTCGCTTACTTACCCGACCATCTTACACATCCCTAAGCACAACAGTGAAACAAATGAGTCTCACACTATAACTGGAGCAATGCAATTACAGCCCTGGTTTCTCCTGTTACTGTACATCCATACCAAGCACGCACCACACCCACTTACACGTTCTGCAGTGCAAGCAAAAGGTCTAAAACACCACACCGCGACCTTGCACATATCCCAGCCACATTCCAAACACCACACCACCACCCTGTTCCAGTACACTTCTAACATTGAAACACTACAGCAGCAGCAGCATCCCAGGCTATGACCAGTGCTTCCATCACAACAGAGCCGTTCTATGTACAATGAATGCGAGTAACCGCATGCCATGCAGTAAAATGAGAATCCCACTGGCGCGGGGCAGCCAGCAGAAAGAGAAGACAGCTAGGGTACATGGCATGGCAGCAGCACACGTGATTTCGGGTACAGAGCAGAAGTCAAATGGGATGCACGACAGCAGGAACGGAGCTTCACGCCTGAGTTCATCCAGGGACGTAAAAATCCATCTTGTCCACGGGCAGGTTTAGAATGTCCGTATCCGCCTGTAAAGAAAAAAGGAAGTGTGGGAAGAAGGGGAAAGTTCGGAGGTGGATAACGATACCATTGTGATGACAGCGGAACAAGGACAGAGAAAAGGCACCAACAACACAGAGTTTCGCATGCATGCTGCTTACACATATATTGTGCCTCCCCGATTGCAGCCTCATGCACAAACGGCTACCGCACCAGCAGGTTCGCCGTGTCTCCTCTGACGCAAGTAACCCCCCTCCCCAAACCCCCAGCATGCCCCCATCACTTCCTGCCCCGTGTCCGCCCATCTACATGCCCCCCAAAATCAACCACCCAGGCGGCTACTCACATCTTCAAAGGGCACAAAGACAAACGCCGCCGTGCCCCTCTGGTGAGCCACAGCAGGCACCTCCGGATCCAGCTCTGCTAGCACCTCCAGCGGATCCCTCTCCTCCTCCCCCTCCCCTCCCACTCCTCCCCCCTCCAACTCCCCCTCTCCTTCTCCCTCGCCCTCGCCTCTCCCTCTCGCGGCTCCTCTGTGCCGGCAGTGCTGCTGCAGCAGGAGATCGACCTCCTTGGGGGTGCGGGGGGTGGCCTGATGGCCTACCCCTCCGGTGATGAGAGACAGCACGTCCAGGCGATTGTTGGCGCCCACACAAGTGCCGCGGAGCCTGACGGGGGGAAACACAGAGAGCAGCATCGAGAGCAGTGGGGATGCAGCAGGTCGACCTCCTTAAGGGTGCGGGGCTTGGCCTGATGGCCCACCCCTCCGGTGATGAGAGACAGCACGTCCAGACGGTTGTTGCCACCCACACACGGGCCACGGAGCCTGATGGAGGAAGAAGTCTAGGCAGCAGCCAGGAGAGATGATTGGGCGGGAGTGGGAAACAGGTGGTGGCATGGTGGTGGTGTTACAGGGGGATCAATGGGGGGTGACGCGAGAGGGGCTGTGAGGAGGAACAGGAAAGAGCGTGCGTGTGTGTGTGTGAAGCTGAGGCTGAAGGTGGGTGGCGATGTGTGTATACCTGAGCTTCAGCTGCACAAGAGTGGCTCGTCGACCCGGATACAGCAGTGCTGCTTGAATCTGACACATGGCCGTGCCATGCCACATCATGCCATGCCATACCATGCCATGCCATACCATGCCATGCCATGTCAACAACGGAAACAGACGGGAGGGATGGGGACAGAGTCATGAAGGAAACAGTGAAACCGCAAACTCTCTGCCAGCATTGGATGGACAAAGGATGGAAAATAAAACACACTACTCGCAAATCTCCCAGTCTCACCGAGTCATCAAGGATGGAGTATCGGCCGAGGTGAATGCCGTCATGAGCACGGGAGGAAGCATCGGTGCCCCCTGCGAGCACTCTGGAGGAGGGGAAGCGCATGTGTGCCGCTGCCTGCATCTGCCGCGCCACGTCCCGCACCACCTGAGGGGAGGTCTGTTGGGGTGCGAGGAGGGGCGCGCAGGGCAGCGCAAGGCAGAGCAGGGCAGAGCAGGTGAGGGAGAGAACGGGCAGCGGGACAAGAGAAGCTTAGTGTTAACGCACACGGGAAGGGAGAGAAAGCATGGGTTTCCTGTGTACGGGAGGGGAGAGCAGGCCTGGTGCGAGGGACAAGAGCACAAAAGAGCACAAAAGAGCACAAAAGAGCACAAACAAAGCACAAAAGAGCACAAACAAGGCACACACAAGATTCAGTTCAATGAGTAAGGCGAATGTGAATGTGAGTGGTCCAGCTATGTGCGCGTGCACCTTGTGTGAGGCCGCACATACCTTGTACAGTACTTTCCCGTTAGGAAGAAAGCAGATGTACCGGTAGTAGCACACCTGTTGTTGGGTAGCGAAGAGAGAGAAGCAAGGACAATTCTGAGGAACGTCAGGGACAACATTGGGGAGTGTGAATATGGGTGGATAGGTGGGGAAAAAAGGGGTTCGTACTGTGGCGAGCAGAAGGAGAAGACTGAGAAAAAACAGATTTGGAAATAAAGAAGGAAGTGGCTTGAAAAGGGAAGAGAATCGGGGGTTGAAGAGCCAGAGGTGGTCAGAAAGGCAGAAGAAATGTTCTCCCTCTTGTGCTTGCACGCTTCTCATCTTACTCCCTCCTCTCCTCCCCTTCCCATCCCCAACAACCTAACTTTCAGCTTTCCCCTTACCCAAGCAATTTCCCCAACATTACTTTCCCCCACCCTCTTCCCCCCGCTCCCCCCGCTCCCCCCCCCCCCCCCTCCCTCCCTTTCTTCCCCCACCCCAAGCTCCCCTCCCCCTTGCCCGTCCCAAGCTGCCCACA